ATAAAATTTGTAACGTAATATTATGATTAATGAACTCAGAAAATCATCGAGTTTCACATATATGAAAATTAGATTTTTTTAAAATATGGTCGCAACGACTCTCAGACGAAAGTCAATGGACTGACCCATTTATATACCTTGGAATTAATTTAAACTTATGAAATAAATATTTGACGCAGGGGGGACGCGAACACCTGAACCTAACGAATACGCACTTTGAAACCCGGAACGATAACCACTACACTAAACACGACTTGGTATTTTAATTTTTTAATAGACACTAGATTTTCGAGTCAAAATACAATACTTAAGCAGATGATGTTTTATACATTTCAAGTACACAATTTTATACACTTGTGAAAAACTATTTATTTTTAATTATTTACGCCATTTAAATGAAAATAAATTTAAATACACAAATTATTGCAAAGGTTAATTTTCAAACACACTGCGCGATTAAAATAGTAAAAATGCTGTCACCACGTGCGTAAAAATTTCGACGATTTATATTGAAACCTAACCAAAAAAGTCTGAAAGAATTGACTAATATAATTAAATAGTTTACTTTCTAAAACATGGACTATCTATATTTCCAGAGGTTCCGAGAAACCAGCAATTTTAATGTATGTAAGAACTCCATTTTATGTACAAAAAATAGACGCGAGTAATAATAAAAAATCGTTTTACGAAATCACGATAAATGACGCGAAAGATATAGAGGTAAACACTGTCAGAACAGAAGCAGACGCGTGCGCATTATGGAAATAGGCAAAATTACTAAAATCCTAGTCAATTTGACTACCCAGTAAAAAAAGAAGTATTGAGTGGAGCGTTTAGGAATTGAGTGAAGCTCTGAGCCAATACGGATTCGAGTAAAAACCGTATTGGGACGTTTGACTCAATCTTTTTTTCATCCGCCGAATACGGTCTTATTTTAGCATTAAAATTAAAATCACATCAGCAGAGTACAAATTATAAATTGAAAGCACAATTGTCCTGGAATGTAAAAATGCCGATTTCGATAAGAAACAGTGAATATTTGTTAAAAATTGGTAAAAGCAAAGTTTGACAAGCGCGACTGAATTTACCATGTGAATAAATGAACCCAGGCGCGAAAGACCAATGCTGACGATAGATTAAAGGTTGATTGAGTCTTGAACGCTCAGTGTGGGTAACTCACAGTAGAAGCAGTCTTTACATCACTGTCAATCAATATTAGTTCAATATTGGTTCAACATTGGACCCAATGCTCGTCCCATGCTCGATTCAAGACTCGGTCAGTCTTTATGAGTGAAGCTCGAACATCTAATCTTGATTCAAGCTTGAATCAATCTTTACTCAATATTCAGTTTATCTTTATTTATTACCGTGTTCACTTAATTAAATAATATTATAATAATTATAATTATAATAATTGTTTCAAATAATAATAATAATAATTAACATTAAGTTATCAATTGATAAATAAATATATTATTAATTGTAACATTCATATTTAAAGAAAGTTAAATAGAAAATTTTTTTTTATAAATGTTTTCAAAATTATTATAGATAATTAATAAATAATAATTAAAATGTGCAATAAATATTCCTGACACTGCATCATATTTAATCATTTTATTAATTATGTTAACTTTTAATATTTATTTAATTAATTATTATTTATTTATTTATTAATTATTATAATTTTAATAATTATTATTCAATTAATAAATATTATTATAATTAATAATAATTATAATATTTAACATTATAATTCATTATTATTCCAAATTATATTTATTTACATAATATATTATTAATATATCTAATAATAAATGTTAATAATTTTGTTACTGAATAATAAAAAATATCAATTATTTATCGATGTTTATTAAATTATCCATTAAATATTTTTAATTGTAAAATGTTTTAAAAGTTAAATTTTGTAATGATTACAATTTTATTATGAATTATTTATTATTCATTTTTAATAATTAAAATAATTCAGGATTAGTATGTGTAAAATTTTTAGTCATAGTTTTCACTTTGCCCTTATAAGTAACAAAGTATACGGCACTGGCATTAATATATTACATTAGCCCGAGGTCTCATCGAGACTCAGTGGCCGTGCGGATTAAGTGGTTGCGTCTAGGACTTCCGGAATGCGTTTGGGGCGGGGGGACGTGAGTTCGATCCCACATGCGAGCGGATTTTTTCATTATAAGCGGTTACATAAAATAATAAAATTACTATTTAATCTGTATAATTAATAAGTGTTGTGAATAAAAACTTGTGAACTTGTTTGTAAATAATATTAAAAGTCTGTCAAAAATGAAGTTAAAAAATGTACAAATTATCACAAATTGTGTTTTTTTTTTTGCTAAAATTATTTTTCAATATTATTATGTTAAATGACATTTATTGTTAGTCATATAATATTTATATGAAAATAATATAATTATTATAATAATAACTTATTGTCATTAAATATGTAAATACATATATATTAATAACAATACTGTTTATTATTAATAATAATAATTAATATATTCACGTTATATTGAATGAACGCGTGAGAAGCGTGTAAATTTGGGAACAGTGGAAGCAGTCTTGTTCAGTCCTGCTTTCGGTTTCCGCAGCATTGATTGAAGATTGAACGCCAGTCTTCAACAAAGACTGAGCGTCAGGTTTACATCGATGTTACTATTCCGGACTCAAGTAGCCTTGCTTTCGCTGTCCCACCAATCTTCAACCAATACTGACCAAGTCTCAATCAAGCTTCGTAAAGCCTGAACTCACTGTCAGCTCGCGCCTGGGAAGTGGTAAGTTTAAATGGACTAAAAGAAATCTGCTGTTACCGACAGAAAGTTCCTAGAGAATTGTAAAACAATGAAATTTCATTGTTTTGTTGAATTTACCACAATTCTCTAGGAACTTTCTGTCGGTAAAAGTAGATTTCTTTTAGTCCATTTCGTCCATTTAAACTTACCACTTCATTTATTCACATGGTAAATTCAGTCGCGCTTGTCAAACTTTGCTTTTACCAATTTTTAACAAATATTCACTGTTTCTTATCGAAATCGGCATTTTCACACTCCAGGACAATTGTGCTTTCAATTTATAATGTGTACGCTGCTCATGTGATTTTAATTTTAATGCTAAAATAAGACCGTATTCGGCGGATGAAAAAAAGATTGAGTCAAACGTCCCAATACGGTTTTTACTCGAATCCGTATTGGCTCAGAGCTTCACTCAATTCCTAAACGCTCCACTCAATACTTCTTTTTTTACTGGGTAGGATTTGCAGGGTTGTTTTTGCCAGGCTTGAATTTGTTGAATCAACCTAGCGATCCTCACCATAATGATTAGGAATCCTTATTACTTTTACTAGATTAAGATTAACTATAGGGTCATAGTTAATAATACCATCGAGATTTTTTTCGGCGTTCTCCTAACCTTATTTGCTAAAACTTTTTTAATAAAACAATTCGTCTGTAGGTAACTTTATACGATCATAATATTTATTTGTATTTATGTAAAAAAAGCAAATAAAAGAAATTTTTTTATTTGCGTTATTAATAAACAAAAATAAAAGGAAATATTTTTATATTTATAAATATGAATATAAAAAATTGATATTAATATAAGAAAGGACATAAATAGGAAAATTCCTGTTTGCAATGTAAAACTCGTAATATTGAGATAAAAAATAAATTTTAAATAAATTTTATTTATATTAAGACAATCAAGATTAATTATATCATACGTGTTATATAGTTAAAAACTATAGAGTTAGAAATGTAGCCATGTTGAAATGCGTTTTGCCCAGAAAATTAGTAGTTTAGATTGGAAAGTGGAGCAAGTAGAAACTTCACGCAGTGAAATAAATTTCGTGTGGTCAGACACAGGAGGTGTAAAATTGAAAAAATGAAATTAAATTCTTGTATTTTTTTCTTTTCTTTCTATGTCTCAAAAATTTATGTTGGCAAAATATTGTCCTCAAATTATTAAAAATATTTTATCAGCATAAAATACTTAAAATTATACTTTATGTATATCTTTCATTTATAAAATTAAAACGTTTAGATGAAAAAAACAACTCACGTTAATGAAATAAAAGTTAATTTTTCCAATTGCTAGAGCGTAAAAAAGGTTATGACTTTTTAAGTGAATTTAGTTGAATGTAGTTTTTCTTTATTCTGCAACACTCATAAGATACGACAAGAACCAGCTATACATTTATGTTCACGCTGGTGTTACTTCTTTCTGAGCACGTTTTCATAGAAAAATATACGGCTCTCTCTCTCTCTCTCTACTCTATTTTTCTTTCCTTTTTTAACCCGTTGAAACTTTGTTTCGAATGCACGTAAAACATTCTTTCGAATGACCACAACAGAAGCACGTAGCTTTTGTATGGATTTTTTTCACACCGAGCTTTACCAAGTATTTATGTTTCTTCATGAATGATGTGCTTTATGTTTTATCAATGTGTCATCAAATCTCTCGCCACGCTTTTAAAGTCAATGTTTCGTTTCGTTGCACAATGTAAAAAAAACTAGCTAATATCGAAAATGGATAAAAACTCTTACAAAGAAACCTCTATTTTTGGTAATATTTTTTTTAAATATGTTTGAAAATATGTAGATGTAGTTTCAGACAGTAATTAAAAAATTTTTTAAATATTGAAAACTACTTTTTTATTTAAAAACATTATCACTTTTCTAAAGCCGTAACATTATATTCTTTATAAAATGAGATTATTTTTCTAAAAAGAAAAAAACAAGATATTGTACTGTACACGTATTTTCAGTCAAGAAAGTCTTAAATTAATTCAACAAATCAAAAAAATCAAATCATAACAAAAAGATTTATATCTGTTTTATTTTCGCCTAAAATTATAGTCGCTATAAAATTTTTAATTTGTTAATTTTGATAACTTAACCAATCTTGGGTAATATTGCTATTGTTATTATTATATTTAAAAATAATTTAAATCTATTTTCAGTAAATTTATTCACCTCTTTTTGCATTTGATCAATGGCAGATGTTTCCCTGGACCTAACAGAATATGTTTCGAGGAAAGTGCGGTTTAGATTCCATTTTAGTTCTGGACCAACTTGCTCTTCATAAATACGAGCTTGAGCACCAACTCCAGCTTCCAGTATAAACACACCCATTACCACGAATATATACTGAAACAAAAAATATAACTCTATTGTTAAAAACAATTTCTCATGAAAATGTAATGTTAATATAAAAATAAAAAAATATTATTATTCTTAATATATTAAATTAATTTAGATAAATACATTATTATAATTACAAAAGTATCAAGATGTTTTTCATTTAAATTGTATTTCACGTTATTCTATTTTCCTAATTCTTTTATTTTCCTAATTTTACTTAAGACTTAATCGAATTAAACTAATAATAAAAAAATAATGGAAAAGTTAATTAACTGAGTTTGTTACACATTTCATATAATATCCCAATGGGAAAAAAACCATTGGCGCATTAATGTCCCAATAAGGAGAGCCACCATTCCATTATTGTCCCATTATTGGCACCCAATAATGGACCACTAATGGTAAAATCGTGGGATGTCCACGCCGATGCCAATAATTGGCAAACCATTATTGGCACATTATTGGCTGCCACTAAAAAACCAATAATAAAAAAAAAAATTTTTTATTAAATTTTATTAAAAAATAAAAAATTTATTTAATAATTATTTTATTTATTATTATTATTATTTATTATTATTAAAAATATTAATTTTTTTATATAATTATTTTTTAGAAATGGTTATTATTTTCTATCACATCGAAATGTGAATAACCCTTTCGTTCAGAGTCTAAAAATTATTTACCTCACATCCATCAGTGCAAAAATAGGAGAGGACGGGCAGAATATAATTCCACAAATATTCGTGAGAATGCTGCCTCCTTATATACTTTTCAAGTTTCATGTTAGTTCCGAGAGAGTTTTAAGGAACACCTCCTATGAGGCGTTGAGCGAACTACATACTTACTACATGATAATTTCTGCAGCGTCGGTAAGTAATTGTATGTAGTTCGCTCAACGCCCCATAGGAGGTGTTGTTTCAAACTCTCTCACAACTAACATGAAACTTGAAAAGTATATAAGGAGGCAGCATTCTCATGAATATTTGTGGAATTATATTCTGCCCGTCCTCTCCTATTTTTGCACTGATGGATGTGAGGTAAATAATTTTTAGACTCTGAACGAAAGGGTTATTCACATTTCGATGTGATAAAAAATAATAACCATTTCTATAAAATAATTAATTAAAAAAATTAATATTTTTAATAATAATAAATAATAAATAAAATAATTATTAAATAAGTAAATTTATTATTTAATAAAATTTAATAAAATTTTTTTTTTATTATTGGTTTTTTAATGGCAGCCAATAATGTGCCAATAATGGTTGCCAATTATTGGCATCGGCGTGGACATCCCACGATTTTACCATTAGTGGCCAATAATAAACCTAGAGAAAACCAATGGCTTCCAATATTGGGCCATTAATGCACCAATGGTAGACTAATGGCTATTTCCCATTGGGTAGTTATTTTAACGTTTTAATGAAACAATTCCAACAATACTGTTTTGTATACATCTGTATGACGCGTGTCTACTTCTAATGCATATACATTGAGATTCATAAAATTTTCAGCGAACATTACACTGAATAATTATATATATATATATATTAATGAGAAATTCAACAAGCATGATATGGGTCAGTTGTACAATATTCTATACATTTTCTAGTGTTTGCAGAATAGAAGCACTCTACATCATAATACGATCATACGTTTATCATTTTGAGTGACTTTAGTGGACTTTCCTGTTTAGAAATATGCCCAAAGAATTGAAAAATTATTCTATTATTCTGCTCTTCAAGAATTGTTTTCAGTGTGCAAGATATATAAAGTCAGGCTCTTCACACTAAAAAAAAAGTTTTACTTTCAGCCTCTTTTTGAGGCTGAATTTATGATGTAAACGGAGTCAGCCCCGTTAAACAAGGACAGACTTATGTGAAATACATGGGCTGAATTTAAGGTGTAAACGGAGTCAGACTTTTTTTTCCTGTGTTGTGACAAAATTTTAATGCAACTTTATTAAATTTTAAATAATGTAAATTTAAAGAATTTAAAATATATTTTAGAAAAAACCTTATAAGTTTAAACTATCTACCTACAAAAAACTTTGTTTTCAGAATTAAATTGTCAACCGACTTTTATTACTACAAAATGAACAGACTAAAAATTTGATAAAAATATATCTCATATAATGTTTTTACCTCTCTTACAAAGATTTTAAAAACTGTTTTTCCTGAAAATAATTCCTACTAAAGCAATCAATTTACAAGTAGTTGATAAATTTTGTTTTATATACTTATTTTATTAAATAATAAATTTTCTTTTAGCTGTGAAATTTTCACTTATGGTTTCAATAACAAAATGTACAAGAATCGAAGAAATGCCTGTCTTCAATTATTATATTTTAATAATTAATAGGTAAGAATCAAAGAAAATATTTTGCATATAACATATATGGTAGGTTTTTAAGCTAAAACGTTTTGCTTACAATATTTTTTTCTTTTTGACATTAATTTCATAATAAATAGGGGAGTGTGTCCAGTTGTGAGACACCTCCAGTTGTGAGACAGTCGATTTTTTTAACACGCAATATTAACCCTACACCCAGAGAAATGGTATATTTGTCTCAGAACCAACTAGACTTTTTATTTGTTTAAAATAAATTTTATTTGGTTTGAATAAAATTTTATTTATCTCAAATATATGTTTTATTTGTGTCGAATAAAATTTTTATTTAAAAGAAATAAAAAGTCTAGTTGATTCTGAGACAAATATACGTTTATTTAACTCAAATAAAATATATTTGGATTAAATAATATTTTTCTCTGGGTGTAGAAGGAGTACGTTAATTTACTCACCCTCTAAGGAGTAACTGGGGTGTCCCGACACCCCACGCTTTAAACTTGTTTTATAAGCTTTATATTTGACGTAAAAAAAATTTATTATAATGAATTGATTGGTTTTTTAGTAAGGAATACAATAATATTATTCATATTTTGATAAATTAAAAAAATTTTGAATAAAACCATAAAAACCCAAAAAAACACCAAAAAATTGCAAAATTGACTTTTTTCACAAAAAACGTTGTAGTTTCTTAAAAATTTGACTAATTTAAAAACTATTTTAGGTTTTTAAAGGTAAATAGATACACTGTTAGGGGAAAAAATTAGTTTTTGTATTACTTCCAAAAAACATAATTATTTGAACATCTGAAGTGAAAGAAATTAAAGACAATTGACGAATAGTGAAAATCATAAAAATGAACTATAAAATGGACTTAAACAATTAATATTTACTAAAAATGGTGTTATAAATTTAAAATTTTACAAACTTAATATATCTGAATATATTAACATTAAAATTAATAACTTATGAAATGATTCTGTAAATTAATATTTAATCAAAGTTTTAATTAACAATTCTTAATATCTCTAATATATGTTAAAATATTATTAACAATATAGAATTTATAATTTAAATTTGACTGTCATATACTACATTTTTCTGTATTAGAATTTAATTTCTGACTGTAGAGAGAGCACAGAAATTTTTAATAAATCTTAACTCAAATTTCATAAGTTGTTACAAATACAGAATGTCTATTTTTCATAAAAATAGAATTTTTGTATAAAAATTTTTCTTTTTTATAAAATACAACTTTTTCATGCATAACCTATCAATTTATACTTTATCAGATGATTTTAACTGATTAAAAACGATTTTTTAAAAAAATTTGAATTTACTTATCTTGACAATTTTTCTAACGTTAGGGAGTAACTGGGGTGTCCAGACACCCCAGACGTATTTTAAAAGGAGATAGAGCTCTTCCTAGAGCAAAACTTTTGGCAGCACATACAGGTGTCAAAAGATAGAGGTTCAAACTAAATTATCAACGGGTTTTGAGCGCAAAAAATTATTGGTTAAGCCATGGGAATACTTTGAATTTTGCTTGGGGTGTCCAGACACCCCAGTTACTTCTTCTAGGGTTAAAAAGCCGATTGCGTTTATATAAAAACATTTCTTTTTAAGTATATGACCCAACTTTTTCGTGTACGCCGAAGCGGATATATACCCAGGTGAGATTTTTTGGTCAGCCCATAGTTGGGCCAACTTTTACAAAGTCGGTCCAACTTCTCGTGCCAGAGGTTGGGCCAACCATACAGATGATAACGGTCGCCGTCTAATGGCGACGATGGTTGGCCCGACAACTCATAAGGAAGTTGGCCCAACTTAAAATGCATATGTTGTGCCAACTTTACACTTCAATGGTTGGTCCAAAGACTGACGCCAAAGTTGGCACAACTTTAGATGCATAAGTTGGGCCAACCACAATTTTCAAAGTTTGGCCAACTTCAACAGCCAAAGGTAAAAAATTATTAAAAAACTAAATTATTTAAACAATTAACAGGTTATTATTAGCGGGAACATCAGATATAACCTTTACCTATTATTATTAAACACAATCTCATACATACATTTTCGAAAATATCTAACGCTCGCTGGGATCGAACCCCTAACCTAACGCACCGAAGACTTATACACTGACAACTACGCTACGCTCACATGGGAGTGCATAACGCAAAATGTATATTAAAGCTGCAACAGTCGTGGCCCAGAGTTCGGCCGACCAAGAAAGTTTAAGTCATTTAAACTGCATTTGATAAAGTTTTGCCAACCGTTGGGCCAACCGTGGCCCAGAGTTCGGCCGACCAAAATAATGTAAGTCAATTAAACTGCGTTTCTCATAGTTTTGCCAACCGTCGGGCCAACCGTGGCCCAGAGTTCGGGCAACCGAAACTGAAAGTCTTTTAAACTACGTTTTGATGAGTTGTGCCAACCTTTGTTGCCAAAGTTGGCCCGACGGTTGGCTAAACTCTGTATTTAATGGTTGGCTTGCAAAGTCGGGCCAACTGTGGGCACTAGTACTTGCCAAAGTTGGGCAAACTCTGGCAACCAAAACTTCGCTTGCCAAAGTTAGGCCAACCTTGGGCCAACCTTCAAACTCTGGCGGCCAACCTAAATTCGCACCTGGGTAAACTGTTTTTGTTAGATTCCAACACTGT